CAGGGCTCTGTGCTTGGTCATCTGCTGTTTGTGATTTATATTAATGATATTGACTCTAGAATGATTGACAAAATTTTGAAGTTAGCACATGACATTAAAAGTTTTGGGGTGGCTAACTGTATCAAAGAGGCTGCAGCTTTACAGGGAGATTTAGATCATTTGATGCATTGGGCTAATATGTGACAGATGACGTTTAACTATCCAAAATGTAAGGTGATGCATGTAGGTTTTCACAATTAAAATTACTGTTACAACTTAAATGGGAATACATTAAATACTGTGGTTGAAGAAAAATATCTTGGTGTTGTGATAAAAAAATCACTTAAGTCATCTAATCAGTGTATTGTACCTAGCTAATGGGATTTTGGATAGCATCTATAGAAATATTGAATACAAGACATGGGATATTATTGTTTCACAGTATAGTTCAGTAATAAGGCCTCATTTAGAGGACTGTGTACAGTTTTGGGCTCCCTTCATCAAGAAGGACATTGAATTGTTGGAGAAGGTTCAGAGAAGAGCCACTAGGATGATACCAGGGATGGTGGAATTGTCTTATGAGGAGAAACTAGAATCTTCATACTTGTTTTCTCTGGAGAGGAGAAGGGTCAGAGGGGATTTGATTGAGGCGTCTAAGATTATTAAGGGTATTGATAATATATTAAGTCATCAAGAAATTAATGTCACTTTTTTTAGACGAAAAAACCTAAAGAACTTATATATCAAAACAAAACATTTATTAAATGAAATAGTCTCCATTCTGATTGATGATGCTTTTCCATTTTACAATCAATTTGTTAATGCCCTGATTACAGAAATCACTTGGCTTTGAAGCAAAAAACATGTTGATGCCCTCTTTAACACCTTCCACATTTGCATACGTTTTGCCATTAAGATGGTGTTACAGCAAACCAAAAAGATGGTAATCTGATGGTGCCATATCTGGAGAATATGGTGTGTGGGGGAGAACTTCCCAACCCAACTCCATAATCTTGTGTTGTGTCAAACGTACCACATGTGGATGTGCATTGTCATGGAGAAGAACACTTTTCTGATTGATGAGTGAAGGGCATTTCTGATGAAGGGCTTGATTTAAATGTTCCAGTTGCTGGCTATAGATCTCTGCATTGACAGTTCACTGTGGATCGAGGAGTTTGAAATGAATTACTTCTCTGATGTCCCACCAAATGCAAAGCATCGCTTTCTGCAGATGGAGTCCAGATTTTTGGGTTGGAAGTGGTTTTTGTCTAGGATTGAGCCATTGTTTCTGGCATTTAATATTTGCATAGAGAATCCATTTTTCATCACTGGTGACAATTCTGTCTAAAAATGGTTCATGCGCATTATGCTCCAGAAGAGACGAAACAACGTTCACACATTGGAAACAATGATCATGGGTTCGTGATGCACCCAAACACCTTTATGAAGTTTTCCCATATTCCTTTGATCTTTACGTATTGTTTCATGAGGCATGCAGTTTCAGGGCCATTTCACGAGTGTGTTGCCTTGGGTTAGACTCAACAAGCATCTTCAGGGCATCAATATCAATTCCAACAT